GGAAAGCACGCTATCTAGGAGAACCGACACGAGGAATCGACTAACAGCACTTTTAACACCTGCAGCTAAGGCGCTAGCGCGCAGTAGGGAGTAAGAAGGAGGCCTTCCTTCGTTATCTCACGCCTGTGTAGAATTTTCTCACAGAGCTTAGGCTCTAATGCCAAGACTAGAGGGGCCAATAGGAACGCAGGAGCTTATTGAAGCTCAAATTCAGCAAGAAACACAGACATATCAAAACATAAAAATACAAAAAAAGACTAGCCTCAAAGGACCTTAGAGGCACAAGCAAACGACTAATGGATAATAATCCAGAAATCGAGATGGCTGAGGAGGCCCCTACGCCGTGCCCTAACAGGCAACCAGAAGAACCGCCTAGGCCTACCCATACTAGGACAAGAAGCAATTTTTCTCCATTTATTGGAGCAGTGCCAAGATACCCTACAGTAGGGAAAACACCAAAGGCAACCTCTATTGAGGAGGCCTTAGAGATTGCTAGAAACCTAGTAATCTAAGCAGCTAACCTAGCTAAGAACAACCCTACTAGGCAAACCAGTTTACTAGACCTTGTAGAAGTCTTTAGAGACTTTATAGAGAACGGTAGAGTAAATAAGAAAAACTCTACAATTCTAGGAGACTAAATCTCCTCTCTATCTAACGTCTCTAAAGAACTAAGAGAGAAAGTTAGACGCCTTGAAAAACCAAATACCCCGCCCACCTAACCTTAAGCTTAGCCCCCTAGCTCCTACGCAATAGTCGTAGCTAGTAATTAAGAATAACCTTAGACATATATCTAAAAAAAAAACTAAAAACACATAAAAAAAAACACCTAAAAAGACAACTAAAAAAAGACTACTAGCTTGTTAGATCGCTAAATCGTTCTAGTTAGCGATATACCTACTGCATTTAACGCCCTAAAAATCAGAAACGCCTTCAACAAAGCCTTTACAATAGAGGGAGGGGTACAACCCTAGTAGTAGCCTTAGTAACACCTTTAGCAAAAGGTAATAAAATAGTTACTACCACCCTAGCTTTTTTAGCAAAATACCTTCTAGAAAACCAAGAGATCTAGAAGGATATTATAGAGTTCAAAGCAGCCTAACTAATCACCCCTTGGTTCAAAGTAGTTATCTATAAACTACCAACAAACTATAGCCTAGAGGTCCTAAAGGAGGAAATTGAAATCTTCAATAAAGGCCTAAAGGTAGTAGGCAGCCCTTTCTGGTTAACACTAGAATCTAGAAGAGAAAACCAAAACTTTAGATCCGCCTGCGTAGCTTTTGCTACAGAACAAGAAGCCCAAAGAGCTATTAGAGGAAAGCTCTATATTCTAGGGCAGAGCCTTAGAGCAGAGAAACTAAGAGTTATTAATAACTCTAAACAGTGCTCTAAATGCTAAGGTTTTAGGCACCTAGAGGCTAAATGCTCTAAAGTAGCCTGCTAGATCTACAGCGAAGCCCACCACACTAGCCTCTACAAGTGTAATTCTTGTTTAAGCAAAGGCAAGCCTTGCGTTTACACTATCTTTAAGTGTGTAAATTGCAGCAAGCCTTACGTAGCTAATAGCTAAAACTATAAAATCCTATAAGCTAGGATATCTAAGACTACTACCTCTTCTACCTAGAATGTTAAAAGTTCTATAAATAAATGTTAATAGAAGTAGCCCTGCTATAGAGAGCGCTCTAAATCTAGCTATTTAAGTAAACGCTAAGATTATCGCTATACAGGAACCCTGGCTACTAAAGGGACATACCTACGAGAATACTAGATCAATCGCCCACTAAGACTTTACTCAAATACTTCCTACTTACAAGGGGTTAAGGCCAAGAACGCTCTTTTATATTAGAAAAGACATAGATGTAGAGGTCAACCTATATATTAGCGACGACAACAATTTACAAGCTATTACAATACTCTCCTCTTTAACTAGGATCTATATATATAACATTTATAACAAAAAAAGCCTAAAAGAAGGGCTTAATAAGACAACAATCTAAAGGCGCCTACTTAAAGAGACTCTAGAACCCTCCTTAATTATACTAGGGGACTTTAACACCTACCACCATAGATGGAGCCTACAGGATAAAAACCCAAACCAAGAAGCAGAGGATCTAGTAGAGTAGGTAGACAACTAAAACCTTTCTCTACTAAATACTCTAGGGACTGGCACCTTTTTTCGAGTAAATATGCGGCAAGAAAGCGTACTAGATCTTACTTTTGCAACTAATAATATAGCTGCCAAAATCTAGGACTAGCAAACTATACTAGGAGTTAGATTAGACCACTACGCAATCCTTTTTAGTATTGAAAGCCTAGGCTAGCTACCTAGCTAGCTAAAGAGATTTAATATTAAAAAGACCAACTAGGACATCTTTAATAATACACTTAATAAAGAAGTCAACAACTAACAGCTAGAGGCACAACTACTAGACCTACCCTACACCTCTAGCTATTTATCAAGAAAGATCCTATTAGGTTAGAATAACTCCCTAGTAGAGAAACTAGAGAAACTAGGAGAAGATATTACAATAGTAGTACAAACAGCTCTAAAAGAATCCACCCTACTAGTTAGCTAGAAACCAAAGCCAAAACCTTAGTGGACTAGTAAGCTAGATAACCTAAAGTTGGATCAAAACAGAGCTTTTCGAGTCCTAAAAAGAGAAGGTAGTAGAGAGGACAACAGCTAAATTAACTAGTAGAAAAAAGAGTATCTTATTGCAAAATACAGATATCTAAAAGCTATTAAAAAAGCTAAGCTTAACTACTAGGAAACCTTCCTACAAAAGGAGACGCTAAAAGAGATATTTAAAGCTATAGCCTACACAAAAGACAACCTATCTATAAGGATACCTGCTATTAAAGGCAAGGAGACCTTTAGAGAAGAATGCCAAGCCTTTAGAGAAGATCTCTTCCCCCCACTACTATCTACTCTAGCCCCACTACTAAATACCTACAAAGGAGATAGTAGATAGGAGTGGCTAGCTTTAACAAAAGAAGAGCTCGAATTCGCCTGCGTAAGCGTAAAAGCTACCTCGCTAGGACTAGATTTAATTAGCCAGGATATAGTCTAAAAAGTCTATTAGGCACAGCTAGAATTACTCTTTAAGATATATTTAGCTCTATTTAATTTTGGCTACCAACTAAAGTGGTAGAGAAAAGCTAAAGGAGTTATTCTAAAGAAACCTGGAAAGCTAGACTACTCTATCCTAAAGGCATATAGAGTTATCTCACTCTTAAGCTGCCTAAGGAAAGTACTAGAAAGACTATTTGCAAGACAATTAGGAGCACTAGCAGAAACAACAGACTTACTCCACCCTACCTAGTTAGGTGTTACAAGTAACAAGCAGAAGGATTCTTCCCTTGTTGGAATGGCGAGTGGTTGGAGAACCACTCAGGATGACACCAAAGGCACGACGACAACCCCGCGGTGATCACGTGACGTGTGCTCCCGCCAAGAGCCATGCTCCCGCCAAGGAAGGGAGAATGGGAGGCCTTGGGAGAATTGTGCTCCCACTGCTCCCATGGGAACATGCTTCCGAGGGAGAATAGGGAGCATCAGGACAGAACACGATGGGTATAAGAATGTGTTGGATTTCATTATTACACTCGTTGTGGTCAACTTATTATACTGTACTCTCCCACAAGTTCTTTACTTAACAAGATTAGTACTTTGTTATTCTATCTTACTATAGAATTAATTGTCTTTACTATT